GGAGTCACTGTGTTTTTTTTATTATTATTTTTGTGTGTGGCAGTTCAATTATGTTAAATGAAAATCATCACTGTGCTGCAGATCCACTCACACCTGCCATCTGCCTGCTGCCAGCCTCACCAACATCTGTGTTAAAAAGCAAATGAAACAACATCAATGCTCCTTTTTGTGGCTGAAACGCAGTGAAGATGACTTTTGGGGCTTTGTAATTCTGAACATTCTTATATAAACTGACCTCACAAAATCGTTATATCGTCGTCTTCGTCTTCCTCCGCTTATCCGGGTCCGGGTCGCGGGGGCAGCATCCAAACTAGGGAGCTCCAGGCCGTCCTCTCCCCGGCCTTGTCCACCAGCTCCTCCGGCAGGACCCCAAGGCGTTCCCGGACCAGATTGGAGATGTAACCTCTCCAACGTGTCCTGGGTCGACCCGGGGGCCTTCTGCCAGCAGGACATGCCCGAAACACCTCCCCGGGGAGGCGTCCAGGAGGCATCCTGACCAGATGCCCAAACCACCTCAACTGGCTCCTTTCGATCCGGAGGAGCAGCGGTTCTACTCCGAGTCCCTCCCGAATGTCCGAGCTCCTCACCCTATCTCTAAGGCTGAGCCCGGCCACCCTACGGAGGAAACTCATTTCGGCGACTTGTATCCGCGATCTCGTTCTTTCGGTCATTACCCAAAGCTCATGGCCATAGGTGAGGATTGGGACGTAGATCGACCGGTAAATCGAGAGCCTGGCTTTCTGGCTCAGCTCCCTCTTCCCCACGACAGATCGGCTCAGCGTCCGCATCACTGCAGACGCCGAACCAATCCGCCTGTCGATCTCCCGATCCCTCCTACCCTCACTCGTGAACAAGACCCCGAGATACTTAAACTCCTCCACTTGAGGTAGGACCTCTCCCCCGACCCGGAGGTGGCAAGCCACCCTTTTCCGGTTGAGAACCATGGTCTCAGATTTGGAGGTGCTGATCCTCATCCCAGCCGCTTCACATTCGGCCGCGAACCTACCCAGCAAGAGCTGAAGGTCAGAGCTGGATGAAGCTAGGAGGACCACATCATCCGCAAAAAGCAGAGACGAGATTCTCCTGCCACCAAACTCGACACACTCCACACCACGGCTGCGCCTAGAAATTCTGTCCATAAAAGTGATGAACAGAACCGGTGACAAAGGGCAGCCCTGGCGGAGTCCAACCCTCACTGGGAACAGGTCGGACTTACTACCGGCTATGTGGACCAAACTCACGCTCCTCTGGTAAAGGGACTGAATGGCCCTTAGCAGAAAGCCACCCACCCCATACTCCTGGAGCGTCCCCCACAGGATGCCCCTGGGGACACGGTCATAAGCCTTCTCCAAATCCACAAAGCACATGTGGATTGGTTGGGCAAACTCCCATGCCCCCTCCATCACCCTTGCAAGGGTATAGAGCTGGTCCACAGTTCCACGGCCAGGACGAAAACCACATTGCTCCTCCTCTATCTGAGATTCAACTATCGATCGGACCCTCCTCTCCAGTACCTTGGAGTAGACCTTTCCAGGGAGGCTGAGGAGTGTGATCCCCCTATAGTTGGAACACACCCTCAGGTCACCCTTCTTAAAGATGGGGACCACCACCCCGGTCTGCCACTCCCTAGGAACTGCCCCCGATGACCACGCAATGTTGTAGAGACGTGTCAACCATGACAGCCCTACAACATCCATAGCCTTGAGATACCCAGGACGAACCTCATCCGCCCCGTGATCCTCTGCACTATAGAGAGTAAACAGGTGCATTCATTTGCATTAGATCCACAAAACTGGTCCCATAGAAGTGACTCTGTAGAAACAGGATCCTTTAATCGGTAGCTGCGCGTGTTTTAGTGATGACGTTTTTCATTTGGAAGCAATCTAAATTTGGCAAAGCCTCAGTACTTTATTGGCCAAACCACCCACATCATTTTAACGAATTCCTCTGATCACAACTTTCATAAAGACGACATTTGGAAAAGATTTCACGGGTCACTCTGAAGTTTCCTTAACTGAGGAGTGTTTGAATTAGAATTTTGCAGCTAATCTGAGGCATGTGGGAGTTCAAGGCTGCATTAGCCTAAAGCCTCCATAAAAAGTAGATGCTTGGACCTTATTGTGTTGTTTTAATTGTAAGGAGGATTAACAACACCAACACCTAAAAAGAACGTTGATGGATGTGAGTGTGACAATCATTTCAGCAGTTTTTTAATGCATAGAAAACACTTTGTTTAGTTTTGGATTCGTGTTTTGAAGCAATAACTCCCTCAATAAGAGCATCTCCTGGCATGCTTTAAAAGCTTTTCCTTGTCTATAAAATGGTTCAAAACTACTTGACACGTTTTTGTTTATTTTTAGGAGAAAAAAATATCCTGATTGTGTTGTCAAGATGAGGTAAACTATCCGGTACTTCTGCTTTGTGTGTGCAGCCATGTTCTATATTTTGTCATGTTTAATAGGCAGTCGCCTATTGTGCCTTGAGGGTCAGTGTAAATGCAGCAGCTGTGACTGTAAACTCTCTTCTTATGGCGGATCAGTCTGGATTTGTGATTCGATGTACTCAGATTTACAGTCAAAGCAGTAAATTTAGAAACTGGGGTTTGTTTGACATAATGGTCTGTGTCAAGTTTCTTTATAAAACACATTTTAATTATAAAGAAACATTAAAAAAACACATAAAACAAAAATAACAAGACGTTCCATTTAGCCAAAATTCAATAAAATGGTCAGATTACAGAAAATAATCAAATTTAAACTTTTAAAATACAGCATAACCCTCCTACTGTCTTTGTGGGTGACCCCGCGAGGAAAGTTGACCATTGAGCAGGATTGATGTTTTATCCCTTGAGGTTCATGCGGCAGGGGTGAGGTGGTGCTCACTCCTCACCCCTGCCACATGGACCAAAGGGATAAACCATCAGCCGTGCTCAATGGCACACTTTCCTCGCGGGGTCACACCCATTAGGACAGTGGGAGGGTTAACAGGATCTGTAAAGGATTTTGTTGAACAAAGAACTTTAAAGATCATCAGCAAAACAATGAAAAACAATGCGTTATCTTCTTGTGGATCTCAACAGAAAATTCTGTAATAAAAGAACTTGACCAAAGATGGAGCCTTGAGGAACCTCGCAGGATTTGGAGAAGGAAAATGGTGAGAAGGGTGTTGGTGAATATTTTGTAATGAAGTCAAGACAAGACAAATTCGTAGCCATCACTTGTTAGATTTATGGGGATACACGGCTCATCGATCTGGCTTGAGTACTAAAGACAGGTAGAGCGGGTTGTCCAGTAATCAGAAGGTTGCAGGTTTAATCCCGGCTCCAACCAGAGCATGCTGCTGTTGTCTTGGGACAAGACACTTAACCCGCCTTGCCGGCCGGTGGTGGTCGGAGGAACCGGTGGTGCCTTTTTATGGTGGGCCTTGCCTCTGTGCCCCAGGGCAGCTGTGGCTACATTGTAGCTCATCACCTCCACCAGCATGTGAATGACTGTGAAGGGCCTTGGGGGGTTGTAGAACCCTAAGAAGGTGCTATACAAATATCAGTCATTTACCTGTATGTGACCTCTGAAAGTCCAACACACATGAACATCTGTGAAATGTTGAGTTTCCTCTTTAATCGTGGCCCTTTTTTGTCCAAAGACAAACAAACCGAGCTGAGAAACCTTTTCATCTCACCAATTTTAATGTTTAAACTGATAATCATGATTTTAAAAGTAAAATTCTACATGAAAAATGCATTATTGCTTAGCAATAGCAAGTTAATGATCTGTGAAACAATTCCTTAATCTCTATTGCTGCATAGCTAAGACGCATCTAAAGTGCTCTCAAAAGTTATCAGTTTCAGCCACCCACCATTAGAGTTCACCACACTGACAATTATCTGATTCCAATCATCAATTTTTTGTGGATCTTTACAAAAACCACGTTGACCAAAGACTTTTCAGAGCACACTTCATGAGAACTTCACCTGAACGTTCTTATTCTGAATTGTGATGCCTGTCGAGTCTTTGTTTATAACTTAGGCCCCACGTGTGAACACAAGTATGACCTTGTGCAGCTTTGAGCCGTCTCGGATAACGGCGGCCGACACAGTGAGGCATGCGCCTGTTTGGGTACAGGCGGCGTATGTAGGTCAGCCACAAGCCTACATGCTGTGACAGCAGCACGCTCTCTGTGCTGTGCAGCAGGACAGGGATTGAAATGGACAGAGAAAGCCGGTGCAGAGAGGCCCCCCTCACACGTCAGCAGCAATACTTCCTTATTTCTCCCCTTAAACACTTTGACGTTATCAGGCCACGCAGAGCAACGTCCACCCCTATTATTCTCACCTTTTGTACTGCAATAAAATGAACAAAGAGCGGCAGAAGAAAGAAACAGCTCATGATAGAGCAAAGATCATCCCAGTGTACATAAAACGTATTAAAGGAGGCCATTTGATGAGTCTGCCTTCTCCTTTTGTTTCTATATATATAA